ATTAGGAGCGCTTTCGTCACTGGCCCATTACCTAATTCCACTTCAATTCCTATTTAGCTTTATCACCCTGAAATAGGTTTGTTTGAGAACAAAGAGAATACTACTATAGATATAAAACCAAATAATTGAAGCACGCGGCTAAAATCAATACTGCTGATCACTGAGTAGTCTCCAAATTTAAATTCACATCTTGATTTTATTGCAAGCACCGGTCCTGAGAGGATTTTATATGCATGGACCTCAATACTTTTTAGCAATCTGAAAAGTAATATTCGCGGGGAACTCAATGTAAATCTGAGAGCTTTTGAGACTTCTACTCAGAATAGCCTAAGCATTATGCTCAGTACAAGCTATGCGTATCTCCAACAAGCTTCTTAGTACAGAATTTTTAATGCGTAATCTGTTTGGAGTCATTTGCTCATCAAGTAGGATATGCCTAGATTTTATATCTCAGTTCAATATGTTTATGTTGTAAAAATATTTTTGAAGTAAACTTATGACGTGAACAATGTAAAGAGGCCTTTTTATGCGATCAACCACGCCTTTGCTAAACAAGTTTTAGAGGCAAGCGAAAAGTTTAGTTTATTTAATAAGAGTTTCTTTTTTGCAGGAAAGCTAAGAAAACAAAATTTCTGAGAACCCTTTTCGTTATTATAGTCAATGACTGTTGTAGATTATCTCACAGCCAGTTTCTATCACGTTGTATAGCGACAGCCTGATTGTTCTATATTCTTAGCCAAGAATTTAATTGACAGACAGGTGCAGTTACTTTAAGTTCTCTTGCAGCTATAACTTAGGTTAATTGCGTTGGACAGAACTGTAAGCAACCTTACATGTACTGGGGTCCAATACCTTAAGCTGAGGTCAAAATTCTGAGTTACCTACATCCATATCGTCTAATCTACCATTGTAGTTCACTTAATCCTTTTCTTTAAATTAATCTGTCATTAGCCTGTTTTGCTCGAAACATTATTTAACATAACTTTATTCATTAACAAACAACAACGCAAAATCGGAAACATTAATGTGGGTTCCACTCCACAAAAATGCTAGTGCTTTAGTCAACGATGTGATATTTGAAGAAAGGCTTCGTTGTACTAGCGAACATCAGTGGATCCAGTTGCTAGGGGTCCTGACCAGACGTCCGGACAAGGTGCGAACAGGAGTCTAAAAAATACAATTAAGATGTGAAGAGTTGGGGAAAAAAGACGACGCACCGAAGTAGTGCCCTGGTTTTTGGCCTTGCCCGCCTTGGGAGTCTTGGCATCCTTGTTTCCGCCCTCTACCTTTGCCTTTTCTTTTCCCTAAAAGAATTCCTTTAGGTTTTCCAGTACCATATCGTTGTAGATTA